CCCGTCGGGCCGTTCTTTTCACAGTTGTTTTTTTTCTTGAGGAGAGGTTTGCTGGCTGAGGTGCAGCTGCGGGTGATGTCGTCTCGGGAGGAGAGAGGGCAGTCTGCCGCCGGTGCCCGGTAGGGGTCCCTCCCTTCCCTCTGTCTACCCGGTGCCACCGGGGGCTGGCGGGGGGCCGATGCCCAGGGGACCGAGGGACAGCGGGGACCTTTCGCAGGAAGGAGCCGAAAACGAACAGCACGGCAGGGGCTTGGCTATCTGCTGCCCCTGAATAAACCGGCCAGCCATTTAGCTCTTTGAAGGGCCCCTTACGGTAATACGGCCTGTCGTGTTCCCATATGGTCCTTAACTTCCCCAAACAGCATCCAGGTTTTCCTGCGGAATTAGTCTCTTAATACAGACTTCCCTTCAGAGTCTCGGCAGCCTTGTCCTAGCCACGCTGATACCTGTACCAGGTCACCAGTAGGTTGCCTAATCCATCACTTTTAAGGTGGTGTTTGTAAAAGCCGTCGCACTCACGCAATGCTAAACCCTCACCCTTTCCTGGGGTGTGGGGGTACGGCGGCTGTACCAGCTCTTGGAGGTTCACCAGAGTCTATGAACTAACTTACTGTTTCTCCCTCCTCCCCCAGATAATGATAAAAAAAGGAACATTCTTCAGATGTGTCCGGAGCGTCGGTTTGTCCCTAGGAAAGGAACAACCCCCCCTCGATGGTCTTCTGTCTTGTCGCATTGAGGTGAGATCAGAAGGGGCTTCAAAGCACCTTTTTCCTTTTGCAATGTTTGTCTTTAGGCAGCTACACTGATGTTATTACAGAAGGATGCAGCTTCATTCCAGCCGACACCAAGGCAAAACTAATAATCATTTTCCAAGAAAATTGGATAACCCATCCAAAGCCAAACCTGGCTGGCAATTTGCTGCCTTTTCTTCATAGTGGCAGCCCTTTTGCCTTGACAAAACAAGGTGACTAACAGATGTTGAAGGTATCGTGGGAAACACGCCCAAGAACCGCACCTCAACTAAAACTCTTTATGTCTTTCCCCTAACTCACACATTCATAATGGGGACAGATGGTCACATATCTCAAAACACATTTAAAGGTGCCATATCCTACTGAATTGACATTAATTCACTCACATTTACACCACTTCCGTACTAGCATTATTGAGGTCACTGTAACCCTAAGAGGATCTTAGCAAACTCCTTAGCGTCGGAGAAGCCTAACCTCACAAAAGTCTAATGAAAACATCGGCATCCCTCAATGCCAGAACACTCCCATCCCTCAGTCTAAACACAGCCCCGGTCCAACAAACTGAGGCACCCCACACTAATGCCTTTTAATTGGCTTATGACCTAATTAACAGAAAACAGAAAAATCCCCTTCTCAGATAAATACCTTCTTCTGTGTCAGCAGCAAATCATTGTCATTTATAGTTTCCAGAACTTTTGAGGTGTATATATATATATATATATATAAAACTCTTGATGAGTCCAGGACTTAGTGAATTCCTGAGCCCTTTTTTCATTAAGAACCGCTAATTTGAGCACATGATTCCGGCTAATTATTAATTAACTTGTGATCCTCCAAAAGGCAGGGCAGACTCTGGGAGGCACACAGCGTGCCTTTCAGCCTGCTTCAGAAACACAGTGATTTCAGAGCACCGTGAAGTGACAGCGCGGAGCAGTCCTTGACTGTCAGCTAGGTCAAGTTTGGGGAAGCTCCTGGGTGGTTTGGTGCATTTCTCTCCCGGCTCTCTGGAGGGGGAGCCCGCAGGGCAGCCCCCGTGTCGCGTCCTGCAGGAACAGGATCAGCCTTTACCCCTCGGTGGGTGTGATGTGCTGGTCCGCAGGTGCCTCGGGTGGGTACAGCCACTGGGCCCGGCCGACGTTGTGCTTCGCTGCCACTGTGGCCTTGCTGTCACAGCATAGAGAAGCATTTTATTCACTGTGGTGTATCGTTTTCAAACCTTTGGGTTGAACAGTGTCTGGTTTAGTATTTCACTCTCTGTAAAGGGATCTATTTTTAATGTTTAAGTGAAATCTATTTAATTACTTGAAACAGTTCTTATTTTAGTGCTATTCTATTTGATATTCCAATAAATCTGTTGCAGAAATTGTTTTTTACAGGCATGGTGTAGTACTTAGATATTGCTAGGGGCTTTTTTTTTTTTCCTGGCTCTTTTTCCCGTGCTGGAACGTCTTTTTCTGGGACCCGTGAGTACACCGGTGGGTGCCTTTAACCACCTCCACGGAGGGGCACGGCCTGCAGTACCAAACGGAGGGACCGAAAATGATTTTCTTGGCACGATTACCTAAACGCCGGGGCTGCCAG